CCATCCACACTCGTCTAGTATACTCATTTCAGATAGACGAGTGTGGATGGGAGAGTTGGAAGGGGTCGACCTCAGCGAACGTACCTCAAAACAATGTACCTCCCCCTCGCTTCGTATCCCTCGCCCGCCTGCGCTGTCTCCCGTCGACCGACCGACCGACCGACCGACACCCCCCACTTCTTCTAACTCCACTTCTTCAAAATAGACTCGCCCAGGCAGAAAACCGACTTCTGCGCATGGGCCACGAAGTTTCAACCGCTCTGTACGTGCGCGCCCGCACGTGGTATTTTGTGGAAGAGCCACACTCAAGGGGCCAAAGAGCCGCATGTGGCTCGCGAGCCGCAGTTTGCCAACCGCTGTCCTAGAACAATGTCTGGTAGGAGGAAGTGCTTCATACCTGGGAACCGAAATCAGCCTCCACACTGTTATTCTAGGGTTCGCGGGGCTCCCCTTCCCCACAGTGGGTTCAGGCCTGTTCCTCTGGCTCCCAGAGATGACCCAGGGGCAGCCTATGCCTTCAGGGAGCTCATAGTCTGGAGAGAGCTGGGGACACAGCACCTGGTGTCAGTTAACCAGGACAAGTGGTGGTGAGCTGGGGCTGTGCGAGGGCCCCCGGGGAAGGCAGCTTCCTGTAGCGGACCCTCTGGGCCGAGCTTCACTGACGCACCGGGCACTGGCCAGGGTGGGAAGGCAGCGAGGGTATGAAGGGCGTTCCAGACAGATGGGCAGCTTGAATGGGACGTGGCCAGAGTGTAAGAGTCCAGGCTGGGCCCGGGCTGGAAGGAGGCGGTGCCTACAGTGCTGTGTGCCCGGGACTTGCCCTGCTAGTGGGTGTCGTGGAAGGTTTGTTTGTTTAACTTTTTATTCACAGGAAATTGCAAAAATAGCACAGCGTTCCCTACCCAGCCTTCCCGGATGGTAATATATAGTGGTCTTATCTTGTCAGACCCAGAAAACTGGCACTGCTCCATCACTAGACGACAGAGTGTGTCCGGTTTTCACCTTTTAGAAAAGCCTGCACTCTGTGTGTGTCTGCGTGCGCACACCCGGAAGGGTGTCGAGCAGGGGCGTGGCCCTGACGTGTGTTAGACAGATATCCTTGACCGCCAACCCCTGGCAGCAGGTTGGAGGGCCTCCCTGGAGGCTGCTGGCAGGAGATAGTGAGGGCCTGAGAGACAGCCCCGGTTGTGGAGGGGAGGGGAGGAGCTGCGGAGGGAGAAAAGTTTTGCAGGTAAAGGTGGAAGATTGGACAGGATGGCAGTCGCAGCTATGACTAGAGGTGGGGGTTCATGGAAGAGAAACAGGGTTAGGGAGAAGCTGCTGAGTTAAGATTGGGATGTGTTGCCCAGACAGTGTGGTTCACTGGTTGAATGCAGACCTATGAACCAGGAGGTCCCAGTTCGAGTCCCAGTCGGGGCACATGCCTGGGTTGCAGGCTCGATCCCCAGTGGGGGGGTGTGCAGAAGGCAGCCATCAATGATCCTCTGTCATTATTGATGTTTCTATCTCTCCCTCCCTCTCCCTTCCTCTCTGAAATCAATAATAAAAATATATTTTTAAAAAGATTGGGATGATACGAGTTCGAGGATCAACCAACCCAGCGGGGGTGGCACCAGGGAGGACTTTTCTGGCTATGGAGGCATCTGAGCTGGGTCTTTCTATTTTTATTTTTATTGACTTCAGAGAGGAAGGGAGAAGGAGAGAGATAGAAACATCCATAATGAGAGAGAACCATGGATCGACTGCCTCCAGCATGCCTCACACTGGGGATTGAGCCCGCAACCCGGACATGTGCCCTGACCGAGAATCGAATCTGTGACCTCCTGGTTCACTCAACCACCAAGCCAGGCCGGCTGGGCTGAGCTGGGTCTTAAAGGATGAATGGAGTTGGCTGTGTGTGTGTGTGTGTGTGTGTGTGTGTCGTGGGGCATTCTAGGTAGAGAGCCTAGGATTGGGAAAGGCATGGGAGTCATTAGCAGCCTGGGTGTTGGACATCCAGGTAGCTCTACCCAGAAAGTCAGGGACAGGAGTCTGAAATATTGGGGAGGGGGTGGCCTGGTGGGCGGAGCAGGTTTGTGAGTCATCGACATGACTCAGGTGGTCACCAAGTGCAAGGGCTCGCCTGGGGAGAGCGCGTGGACTGAGGAGGGCAGGAGTATTGTCCCTTATGGAAGCCCAGGTGATCTGGGGGACCTGGGCAGGGGAAGAGGAGCCCGAACGGACGGAGCAGGAATGCTCGGAGAGGTGGCTGTGAGGGGGCCGGGCAGGGGCAGCGGGAGGGCCAGGAAAGGCGAGTGACCTGTCCCTCTGCCGGACTCAGCAGTGAGGAGGTCCCTGGGGCGGGAGGGCCCTCGGCAGGCGGCTGCGGAGCAGTGGGAGTGGGTGGCCGTGGGTGGGGAGTGGCGTGGGAGGTGAGGATGTGGAGACGGTGTGGACAACGCTTTCACTACACGTGACCAGGAAAGGGAGGAGAGGTTGTGCAGCAGGCAGCGGGGACTCCGGGCCAGGGAGGGAATTATTTTGAGCCTGATAACAGGCTGAGGGGTCCCCGGGGGATGGGGGGAGGCGGGGCCGATTGCTTAGTGGGTGACAGGAAGGGTGATGGTGATGTGTGGGGGCTCTGGAGCCAGGTTGCGGGGTTTGAATCTCAGCCCCCCCATGAACTAGCTGTGTGACCTTGGGCAAGTCTCTTCAACTTCTCTGTGCCTCTGTTTCCTCCTCTGCAAGATGGGCACATTATGGCAGCCCCGACTCAGGGCTGTGCGGGGAGTAAGGGTTAAGGAAGGAACTGCGTGTAAAACCATCGTGACAATGTGGTTAGCACTCTGCAACTGTTCGCGTATTATTATCTGATTGTTAACGTCTCAGGGTCAGTTCTTCTCCGTTCACCTTATTCTTATCTATAGAAAGTCTGAGTTGGGTGAGTTGCTACTCATTACATCTATTTCTCTTACCACCATGTACTGTATAAACGATGCAGCATGTAGGGGCTGAGTGGAGGGGCTACCTGGGGGGGCATGAAAGGAGAGGGCTCTGGGGTTCCAAT